TTAGTCAAAACCATTCATTAAGAAAAAATTACTGTCAAGGCACAGATAGAGTTAAAAGAATATGATAAGGAAAACTGAAATGAGATAGTATGAAATTTAAGTTTCAGACAGGCAGATGCCTATGTGATTGGGCAAAGGGAGTTCAGGCTGTTCACTCCAAGTCCAAGAGTTGGAAAATGACTGAAACTCTCTTTTCCCACACTAGAATTAAGTAAGGGTCGAGAGGACGGAAGCTGGTTACACTACTCATTGTTGGGGTACACAGCCTGTTTAAGTTGACAGGAACCAGGCTCAATTTACAACCAGGACGGGGCCAACGCATGGGTGCTCTGGTGTGTGTGTGAGGGGCTCTTGTAAAAACAGCTCAGTCTCTTCTGCTCTCTGAAAAAAATCAAGCACTAGTTCTAATCACACTTGTAACGACAGCCATTCGAGAAATGTTTTTCAGGGATAGGAGGGAACTCCATAGCAACAGCAGCAGCCAACACTGCAGACTAAGCTCCTTTGAAGTGACTCATTACTTCTCAATCTTATCCCATAAAATGGCTGCCTCAAAAATCTGGTTTTATCTCCAAAATAACACATGGATGTAAATGTATGCTCTGGAACACAGGTTCGCAGCTGCATAAAACTAGTAAAGCTGCTACCGCATGAAGACATTCCTTATTTTTCAGCTTAACAAGGTTTTGTCTTTGGACACCGTCATTGGGAAGGGAGCCATTCAAAAGGCAGACGGTAATTTTTAAGGGAATGCCGGGGCATGCAGAGGATACCATTCCTTAGCACTGGTACCCACTTTATTTAATGGTTCTGGAATGTGTACTCAGGGTCTGGAGCGTGCCACTCCATCTCTCTACATCGCTCCTGTATTACTCAATACCCTTGTAAGCTTTCCAAGGGAACAAAATTCTGTGTGACTTAGGAAGTGATGAGCATGAAAGTTTTCAAACTACGCTGCCTTAGGGCCAACACTAACTCACTGGAATTGCTGACCTCTGAGAACAGCCTACAACTGGTCACACACTGTCTTAGCTGGGCCTTTTACACAGGAATTGATTTAGACCAACAGTGTACAAGGATGGAAGTCGGGCCCCAGGAGACATTTAGGAATGTCATGTTCAGGTGTCTGGACTGGAAGAGCATGAGGTGCTAACTAGGACCTAGTGAGTATGAGCCACAGATGAGGCTAATCATCTCATAGTGCACAGGAGAACACCTCAACAATCAATTACCCAACAGCTTGAAATGGACTGAAATGAGTTGCACTACCGGTTGAGCTAAGAGATCATGGGGACAGACTGTATTCCCACAACCGTTTTCCCGAGCACCCTTCTTGATGACTGATTTCCACATACATTTCCGAGTCTTGCACAACCGTTTTCCTGAACACCCTTCTTGATGACTGATCTCTACATACATTTCCGAGTCCTGCAGTCCCAGTCTTTTGCGTCTGCATGAAAAGTTTTCTTTTAAGCTTCAAGGTGGGTTCATGAGCACTTTTTAGGCCAGTTGAATTAAGAATCAGGTTAATAAATATAAATTACACACCCCCTTCCCTCCAAGAGTTAAAAGTTTTCCAGAAGTTTAAAAATTATAGGTCAATTCTGCCTCCCCTCCATCCAGATCGAAACAATAATAGTAAAACAAAACAAATAAGAACAGGACAAAACAAACCAACGAGAGCCAATGATAGGGGAACCATAAACAGAATGTATTGGACGAAAAAAATTTCTCTCTTTTTATTTTTGTTTTATAAAGACAGGGCTTCTCTGTGCAGCCTTTGTTGTGCTGAACAACTCACTCTGTAGACCAGGCTGGCCTCAAACTCGGAGATCTGCCTGACGCTGCCTCCAGAGTGTTGGCATTAAAGGTGTGTGATACCATACCTAACTGAAAAAAAATCTATTTTCAATAAAAGAAAAATATCAAAACAAAAAAAAATATAGGTCAAAAAGTGTTTTAAAAAGTCACAAAAAGGCTATCTGAAAGCCAGGTGCTGTTGGTTTACCTGTGACAACGAATGCCCTAAAGAAGAAGGCACCTCGGAAGGAAGCGATGGAAAGATCACATGATCACATTGATTTTCTTATACATCTTTTACAGGTAGTCTGAAGTGGCAGCATACAGAAGAATATCTCTATGCTCAAAAGTCCAGCTGCTTCTTTGTTCTTCTTACTAATCCAAGATTTCATTCTGAGCTACACTTCTACCTCGATAGGGAACACTTTCACGGTTACTTCAATGACTACTTTCTGTTACAGTTACATGCTTTTATAGCTTAGGCAGCCTTACTCTGAATGGCTAGTTTGTTGCATCAAAATCATAACCACACTATTTTTCCAAATAATGGTTTTCCCCCTAAATTACAGATTGGCAAAGAATGGCAGGATGAACTTATGAGCCAAGGATTGCCGTTCACCATCAGAAGCCAGGAAGGAACCCTCCAGGCTCGAGAGTGGAAGACAGCCTGGAACAGACAGCTGGACTTGACATGACCTCTCGCTGCCAGATCTGCACCCATTTCTGAGGTTTGAAGCCCCTGGGTCACGGGGTTACTGTTTTGATGGCTTAGGGAATGATACACGTTGGTACTTCTGATGTGCCACAAAATATTCTCTAGGGTAGCTACTGGTTAGTCACTGTTGTGGTAGAAAGGAGACATCAAAAAACAAAGGCAGTCACTAATGCTTTACCATCACTGTGGCTGGCACTTGAAGACATTTCCAAAGTTAAACTTAACCACACAGAAAACAAGCTAAACAATTATTTTTAAAAATAAATCTTTCAATGTTTTATCATATTTGATAGCAGCTTTTTTATTGGTTACAAAAACCTAAGCCCATATACAAAATTAGGAACACGTTTAGATGCCTCTTTTGAAAGAACATTTTAGTTATTTTTAAACTGAGTTTAAAAAAAAATAAAAACAATGCAATTTTAAAACACTGTTTTGAAAACTTAAAAGTGCAGCAATACACTCAGTTCCTTTGTCTACGAAATGGTGCGATTCCAATTCAGGCCTGGTAAGGTCACGGCAAACTGAATCAAGCCGACGCACAAGTCTGCACTGCTTGATGCTACTGTTACTTAAAGGTTAGTTTGCACTTAGGACGCGAGAGGAAATAGGGATCATCACAGTAGAGGCCCAATTTTCATCTCAATGTGTGCAAATTTTAGAAGGTAACTGTCAGTTAAGTAGGGAGAGTCCAGAAGAAACTAAACCTGAAGGGGGACAATTCACAACATCAAGAAGATTTGGACTTTAAGGGTTTCACCAAAGTTTGTGACCTTAATTCATTCTTTGTTATTTCTTCTTTTAGTGAACACTACACAGTTTCAAAATTTAGACAAGTGTTTGAACAGGATGCAGTTACCATATGAAGCTTTAACTCAAAATTTGGGTAAAGAAAAAAAGGCACAATGAACTTCAACTCAATTTTATGTGCACAAGAGTTGAAAAATCTGAGCCACCTTAAAGAGAAATTGATTCTAAAATTTATAAAACCTATAAATAATCAGAGGCCAAACCACTATATTAAAACAGATTCTCTAGCAAGTAAAAATCTTGCAGTTTAAACATACGCTTGTATCCATTTTGGATACAAGACAAAGCTCACTCTTTAAAGTGGCTCCACCTTGGCAGATACACACGTCTGTAATGAAGCACACCTGCTGTGTTGTCTCTCAGGGAAAACACCCCAGCTGGCTCACAAAGCTCTGATGGCATTGGCTCCTCTTCATCACAGTAGACACGCCCCCATCTGAACACTAACTTAGATTTCTATCCCTTCACATCAATGCATTGGGAAATTATACCCAGTGAACAAGAGCAACAAACCATTTCTGTGACAGCACAAATTATTTAGTTTAAAAAACTGCAAATCCATATTCATCCATCAATATCCGGGTCAGACAATTTGCCAAAAGCAACAACTTTACATAGTAATACCAGTTTTACAGATGAAAGAGCTCTGCAAATCGGGCTGAGTTAAATAACTGCACATCATTCCTCTACACAGATCCTGGCTTTCTCTTTAACGTGCGGATGCTCTGAGTGGGATCGGAATGAGCTCCCCGATCCTCAAGAATGAAGTCTTGGAACACTTCTAAAGAGTTGCTGGTTGGTTGCCACCACTTTATCAAAAGTACTGGTTACTAAGTAAAAAATGTTTTAAGACTAAATTACAGTAAACATGAAAGCTCCACAGTTTAAACCCAATATAAATCAACCATATCCAATTATCAAATTAAAAAAAAAATAACTCCTGGAAGCTGAAAGCAAGACTATCTTAAAACATTACCAATGAGTATTTTAGACCTTTTCCATTCCTGTTTTAACGTATTTATTTATTGACGTATTTTTTTGTAGTCAGGGACTCTTGCTTTCAACTTAACAGAAGTTCAAGTCTGTAACAGGTTGCAGCTCAGGTAGAGACCATGCACAGCATTTGATTATTCAAAACAGCAGGAACACACAGGCTGAGTGAGTGGTCAAATAGGGTTTGCTGTTCTCAAAAATTAGGTATAATGGCGAAAGCATTACCATTGGTATCTAAAGCTCTTGCTCCAACCCTGGCTTCTGAGGCAGATAATAAACACATCAATTAATGGTAGGTGAAGTACAGTTTTAAAAAACTTATCTTTTTTAATCAATAACCAAGTTTCTTGTTTTTAAGTTATTACTTTTTTGTGTCAGTTCCACCAATGAAAATCATTTGGCTTGTACTTTAATTCTTCCACATAAGAATATGAAAATATGTTTGTGGAGGACAATGATGGAGGCTCAGATCACACTGCACCTCTGTAGTCTTCCAACACGAATATACATCATACCAAAAAGTCTTGATCCACAGTGCACCTTTTTCCAAAGGAGTACCAGCGGGCAGCTGATACGTCACCACTATGGAGAATTCTAACTGGAGACTGCAGTTGTCAGCATGTGGCACCAGGGAACATGGAAAAATAGGGTAGTTGAGATTGTTAAGGAGAATTCGAAAACAGTTCAGGAAATCATGCATATGCATTTACAGTCCATGTGAGAGTGACTTTTGGCAACTGCAAAGTGACTGAGACATGGCTTGCTTTAGAAGCATCAAAACCAAGAGGCAAGAGTGCTGGGAGCCTTCTGCTGCTTGCTGTCTTATCGCTTGGTGGCCATCTGGTGGTGTTTGTATTGAATGAACGATGCTGCACTTAATGGACCTTAGAAATTAAATTCCTTTGTCTGGAGGTTGGCTGTTGGATCAAAGTTGTAAGTACCTCCTTGTGTTGCTTCAGGAATGAGGCTGGGATCTTCATCAATCTATAAAAACAAAGAGAAAACTCCAAATGAATATTTTAACTGCCTAAAAATATCCAGGTAAATTAGTGATAATTTCATGATATATTAAACAAACACAATTGAATAATTTTTAAAAGGTGCTTGGCTTAATAAGTTTCCGTATCACTTCACGTGAGTGTCATTTCCAGAATTATCTCTTTCCAGTTAATAGATTATAAAACTGTAACAAGAAATGCTTTTATAATTTTTCCTTATAGTGAAATTGTGAATAAAATGTTAAAGAAAGTGATTAGTGGAGTATCTAATAGAAAACAAAACAAATTTCGTGCACATTAAGAATAAGAGAAAGGGGCTGGAGAGATGGCTCAGAGATTAAGAGCATTGCCTGCTCTTCCAAAGGTCTTGAGTTCAATTCCCAGCAACCACATGGTGGCTCACAACCATCTGTAATGAGGTCTGGTGCCCTCTTCTGGCCTTCAGGCATACACACAGAAGGAATATTGTATACATAATAAATAAATAAATATTTTAAAAAATTTAAATAAATAAAGAAAGAATAAGAGAAAAATTCTAGGTAAATGCCCATTACATGCAGACATCTATATTTTAATATTTACTTACATCATCACCAGAGAAATATTGATCTATGATTTCGAATGCTAATTTATATATGTCTTCATTTTCATGTTGCTGCAAAACTTCAATTTTCTCCAAACCTGACAAAAAATATAAGAATAATTAAGGTGGTAGTAATCTGCATAATCTAGTTACAGAAAAGCTCTATGAACCTCAGAATATGCCTTTTCTCACTCAAATATGACCGTCTAAGATCTGGAGAGGTGGCTCACCAGTGAAGAGCACTGGCTGCTCTTCCTGAGGACCTGGGTAAATTCCCATCAACCACATTGTGAAGCACAACCATCCATAGTGGGATCTGATGCCCTCTTCTGGAATAAAGATGTGCATGTAGGTACATAAAATAAATCTTTAAAAAAAAAAGTAACAGTCTGAAAGAACACGGAAAAACCCAACCATCAGCAGATTAATTCCTTTCCCCTTAAAAGTATTTGATATTCCCTGGTCTCACAAACCAAAAACAAACAAACAAACAAACAAAAACCCAACTCAGTCACCAAAACATTCCATCTGACAGAGATGACAGGGGTTTGCTTCTTGGTGCATGGCAAGTTAATGACAGTATAAGATCGGAAAACCTCCCAAAAGGTTTCAATACAATCATGATAGCTCTTCCACAGTTTTCTGAATGTAGGTCTTTAGAACTAAATTGAAGGAAGCTTTACATCAAAAACACTGCATTTCAGAAAGGGAGTATGGCAATGGTGGCGCATGTTTAATCCCAGCACATGGGAAGCAGAGGCAGGCGGATCTCTGTGAGTTTGAGGTCAGCCTGGTCTACAGAGCAAGTTCCAGGACAGGCACAAAGTTATATGGAGAAAACCTGTCTCGAAAAAACAATAACGAAGTGAACAGGTTATGTTCCACAGGTATGAACAGCAGAAGGAGGAAGTATTCATCACTCATCTCCTTTTCAGGTTTTATGAGACAAGACTGTGTAGTCAACTCTGGACTTGAACTTGAGGTCCCCTGCTTCTATCGAGTGCTGCATACAGGTGTGCACACTTGTGCGCGATTGAGAGTATCTTTTATAGTTCCATTGTACCACAGACTTCATGTACCAGGTGCACAACTTTATGTAATTAAAACCTTAGTATTCATCCAGGAGATAACATTTTTTAACATATTAAACCAGCTGACTTTTAAAATATTATATACAAATCAGAATATGAAGAAATAGGTGTCAACACTAATAAATGAAAATGCTTTATAAGATGATATTACACATTGTGATTATTACTCCAACAGGAACAAACATAACTTTAACATTAAAGAAAGAATTGTCTAAGCTATTCAAAATTACTGGGTTATGAACTTGACTATGAAATTATTTTTTATCTTAAAAGATATCGTAATAAAAGCATGAGCATGAATTTGCGTGTATCGAAACTATTTACACGATCTTGAACAAAACTCTCACATACCTTTCTGTTTTTATTGATCTGTGAGGCTATTGCATTTATATTCTCTAAAGCATAAGCTGGGTAAACTACAGAGCTAACAAAATGCAAACAAACAAATCACTGCTTATAGTTTTATAGCAATGTCTGGATACTTTAGTACATACAGAACAGGTACTTTTTAAGAACAGAATTTTTAAATATGTATTTCATTATGTCCTTACCAGAAATTATAATACTAAATAAATGACTTCAGTCCAATTAACATCAACACGCTTTTGTAAAAATCCTAAAAGTCCTTCCAACTTTTGGAATTCAAACAAGACACACACAATTGGGCAACCACTTCCCAAAGAAGGGTCTACCCAGACACATGGTACTATGTATAACATAAAAATAATGTGTTTGCTTTGTCTAGAGTTTGAGAATGGAGTAAAGAAAACTTTTACCTACTCGACTAGTCCACCAGGTTTAACATTGTACACTGTGACTTCAAAATGAATGCTGTGGTTTGGTCCTCAGAACTGAGTTGTTGGGAGGACTTTAAGGACCATTAGGTAACGGGGCCCACTGAAGGTTTGATGTTGGGGATCTGGCCTTAGAAGAGTTAGTAAAGCTTTTGCAGAACTATCCTTAGCTTTATCTTACACTGTACGTTATTGCAAAGCACTGAGTCTGACCCTGGATCTGTCTTGTATTCTCTTATGTGTTCTGTCCTGCTGCTCCAGCCGAGGACTTTCCTAGAGGCATACGTATCCGTACATTACACACTAATTCAACAACCATTCTGTCTTACGCTTTCACGTTCCACAATTCCCAGCTAAAGAAACCTTGCTTTTCTAAGCACTTAGCCTCACATATTTCTGGTATGGCGATGGAAAACAAACCAATGTAATAATGAGTATTTCCTAAAATCCATCAACCTCCAGGAAAAGTGACTTCATGACCAGTATTTCTAAAGTATGAACTACTGTATTCTTTTGTGAAAATCCTTCAGCAATGCTAATATGCTACATAAGACCAGGAAAATACTCTGGTCACTTAATTAACAGTGAGCCTGTAGTAATTTTCTAGTAAGCTGAGCTGAGAGGAACCAGTATTTTAGAACGCCAATATTCACCTACTCACCTCCGCATTCCTCTATTATTTCAGCTATTGTGCTCGCTTCATCACCAGCCATTATCAGGATGTTTTTAAGACCATCCAGAACCACCTGAACCACCTGAGAGTCTTTCACCGACAGTAAGTTACAGAATGGTGGTATTACATTCTGTTGTACTAGGTACTCCACCTAGACAATACAAAAGAAGAAAGAATCTATGAATTCTCTTTCCCTCTAGAAACTGCAGTAGAAGAAAATGTTCAGTAACTTGAGAATCAGAAGTGTCCTTGCTGCAGTTAGTAACAGTGACAGTTACATTTTTCCAAACTCACTTGATCTTTTCTGCCACTTATCGTCAAGTTGCTAATTGCCCAAGCAGCTTCCTTCTGTGTTCCGAAGTCCCCCTGGAGAGTAAAAACAAATTCATGAAATAAATTCTTTATCCAAAAGTCTGGGTTGTAATAAATTAAGGTAAACAATGTATTAATGATATGACTGACCTTAGCAAGCTGGTGAATGATCATGGGGATTAATCCAGCATCTATTACAGCTTGAACTTGCTGCTGATTGCCTGCTGTTATATTGGAAAGGAACCAAACTGCTTCCTGTAGTGAACAAAATATGGGTCAGTTTTATTGGAAAAACTATATTTATTACCTGTACTTTTCTCTTTTTAATATTATAAATATTTGATAACAAAATCTCCTGAGTAGGGTTAAAGTGACCGTGTCTAAAATGTGACTGGTTAAGACCTCCATTTTCTTTTACTTACTATCATTTTATGTGAGTCTAGTGCTTGTAAACAAGTAAACGGATGTGCCCATGCATGCCATGGTGCGCATGTGCAGGTCGGTACTTCCCTCCAGCATGCGGTTCCAGAGATCAAACTCAGGTTGTCAGGTTTACATGGCTAGCATTTTGACATGTGATTCAGCCAACTCAGACCTCCCATTTCATTAAAGGGAAGCCTCCTTCCCCAATACTTCTGTGTCCACTTAAACCATTATTTATTCAATAATCTGTAAGCCTAGCTAAAGCTACATATTGTTCTAGGCAATGGTGATATGGCAACAAATAAAACAGACCCAAATCTTTAGCCTAGGGGTACATTTCATTCTCCTTTTGAAAGGCAGGCCAGAAGAATGGAGTTTCCAAACACTCGTCAACACTACTTGTATTAAAGAGCTGTAGTTTATTGGAAAGCATGAGGCGGGGGAGAAGGATCACTGGGTAAGGTGCCGAGGTCCTGATGCTCAGCACCTGTGTCAAGATGCATGGTGACAAGCGTCTATACTCACAGCTGCAGAGAAAGCAAAACCCTAATATACAGTCAAGTACAGCCATTAATGAAAGTCTGAAGATTCCTCAAAAAGCTACCACACAATTGCCATGACTCAGCAACTTCCAGTATGTCAGAAAGGAAATTAAACCAAGGACTGAAACAGTCCCTGAGGTGTCAGTGTTTTCTGCAGCATTAATTACAACAGACATAAGGTATGAACAACCCCAGTGTCAACCAACAGGCAAATGAGGAAAATGAGGCACATACATACAAACAGAATGGCTTATTCAGCCATAAAAGCAAATCAAGGCAGGGCTCTGGGAAGTGGCTGTGTTGGGGAACGGCTTGCCATGCAAGCATGAACATCTGATGGATCTCCAGCATCCAGGTAAAAGTTGGGCTCAGTGGCATCTCTACCTGGAGCACAACTGAGGCAGAGAGAAGGGGTCTGTGGTGCCCATGTCCAATGAGAGACCCTGACTCAAAATACAAGGTGGAGGAGCTGGAGAGATGGCTCCAAGACAAAGAACATGGACTGTTCTTCTCCAGAATCAGAGCTCAGCTCCTCGGAACCACACTGGGTGGCTGACAACCGCCTGTGCCTCCAGCTCCAGAGAGCTGATGCCAGATGCACATACCCATCCGCCCGTACACTGAAAAGACACAGAACTAATGTAAAAGTAATTTTAAAGAAATACATGTAGAGGGAGGAGAGAGGAAGGGAGGGGAGCAGAGAAAATGTACAGTTCAATAAAAACAAATTTTAAAAAGAAAGGAAAAAAATACATGTAGAAAGTAACTAAGAAAGATACCTGATGTTAACTTTGGTTCTACACACACACACACACACACAGAGAGAGAGAGAGAGAGAGAGAGAGAGAGAGAGAGAGAGAGAGAAAGCGAGAGCTCTAATACATTGTTTTAAATGAACTTTGAAACACGGTATAGGATAGGCAAAACAATCCTGTACAATAAAAAAACTTCTGGAGGCATCATAACTCCTGACTTCAAACTCTACTATAGATCTGCAGCCTGGTATTAGCATAAAAACAGACAGGAGGACCAATGAAACAGAATCAAAGACCCAGATTTAATCCACACACCTACAAACACCTGATTTTTGACAAAGAAGCAAAAAATATAAAATGGAAAAAAAAAGCATATTTAACAAATGATACTGGCATAACTGGATAAACATGTAGAAGAAGCCGGGTGATGGTGGCGCACGCCTTTAATCCCAGCACTCGGGAGGCAGAGGCAGGTGGATCTCTGTGAGTTCGAGACCAGCCTGGTCTACAGAGCTAGTTCCAGGACAGGCTCCAAAGCCACAGAAAAACCCTGTCTCGAGAAACCAAAAAAAAAAAAAAAAAAACAAAAACAAAAACAAAAACAAAAACAAAAACAAAAAAACAAAACAACAACAACAAAAACATGTAGAAGAATGAAAATAGATCTAAGTCTATCACCATGCACAAAGCTCAACTCCAAATAGATCAAAGACTTCAACACAAAGCCAACCACACTGAACCTCACAGAAGAGAAAGTAGGAAGTACCCTTGAATGCACTGGCACAGGAGACCACTTTCTAAATATAACCCCAGTAGCACAGACACCGAGAGAAACAGTAACTGGAACCTCCCGAAACTGAGAAGCTTTTGTAAAGCAAAGGACATGGTCAACAAGACAAAATGACAGCCCGCTTCACTAACCCCACATCGGACAGAGGACTGATCTCCAAAATATACAAAGAACTCAAAAAATTGGTCATCAAAAGAACAAATAATCCAATTTTAAAAAATGGGGTACAGACCGAAATAGAGAACTCTCAACAGAGGAATCTAAAAATGGCTGAGAGACACTTAAGGAAATGCTCCACATCCTTAGTCATCAGAGAAATGCAAATCAAAACAACTCTGAGATTCCATCTTACACCTGTAAGAAGGGCCAAGATCAAAAACACTGATGACAAGCTTATGCTGGAGAGGATGTGGGGTATTGCTGGTGGGAGTGAAGCTGGTACAGCACCTTTGTATATCATTGTGATAATTTCTCAGAAAATTAGGAATCAACCTTCCTCAAGACCCAGTAATATCACTTTTTTTTTTTTTGCTCAATTGTACTACAAGGACATGTGCTCAACTATGTTCATAGCAGCATTGTTTGTCATAATCAGAACCTGGAAACACCTAAAATGCCCCTCGACCGAAGAATGGATAAGGAAAATGTGGTACATTTACACAATGGAGTACTACACAGCAGAAAAAAATGGTATCTTTAAATTTTTAGGCAAATGGGTGGAGCTAGAAAACATCATTTTGAGTGAGGTTACCAGACCCAGAAAATCATATGTACTCACTCACAAGTGGCTTTTAGACATAAAGCAAAGAAAACCAACTCAGAAATCATAAGTTCAGAGAACCTAGAGAACAATGAGGACCCTAAGAGGGAAAGATATACATTGATCTAATCTATATGGGAAGAAGAAAAAGACAAGATCTCCTGAGTAAATTGGGAGCATGGGGACTATGAAAGAGGGTTGAGGGGAGGGGAGAAAAGAGGAGGGGAGCAGAGAAAAATGTATAGTTCAATAAAATCAATTAAAAAAACATGGTATGTGAAATAAGCCATAAAACTCTTAAATAATTATCTACTATACAACTAATAAAAATTTTTAAATAAATTTGAAACTTTTAAAAGTAAATTTTTATCATCCTTGATAGAAGGCATGACACCTTTAGAATTAGGTCTATTCTAATTTTGTAGGGAAATAACTGTTTTAAAATTACCAGTTATTTTAGTGAGAGACTATATGTTTTTGCATACTGGTTACTAATTTAATGATACTGTTCAATCTATAAGCACGTAAATAGTCCAAAAATTTTATTGTGATGATAGTACGACTAAAGGCAACAGAAACTAAAACAGTTTTAAAGATCCACTTACAACCATCCCCATCTTGAATGCCAGGACCCTGAGTGAGAAAACACATCGTAACAGCAGCAAGGAAACAGCCACAGACAGAAGAAGGGCAGTGTGTGCCTTTACCTTATTTATTTTCTCTTTCGGGTGTGATAAGAGATTTGGGAAGTGGGACAGGACATCGCAGTTAAGAACCACCTGGGTCTGCTCGTCAGTGCCAGTCACTATGTTCCCAACTGCTCTGAGTGCTGCAGTCTAGAGAGGGGAGAACATGTTTTAAGTATGTTTATAATGAAATTGTCATCTCTGTAGTTTTCATAACTCTGAGGATGTGAGGAGCAAATGATGAACATTTATTTCATCCCTACAGCAAAGCCAGAACCAAACTAGCAAGGACTTTTAAACAACCATCTCCTACGGAAAATTATAGAACTCCACAAAAAATAGGTGAAAATTGGTTAGAAAAAAGATTTTTAGGCCTAGCAGTTATGGCACACACCTTTAATCTGGGCACTTGGGAGGCAGAAGCAAGAGGATCTGTGAATTCGAGACCAGCCTAATCTTAATCTCTTACAGAGCGAGTTCTAGGACAGCCTGGGCTAAACAGAGGAAACCTTGTCTTGAAAATAACAAAAGAAAACCAAAACCATGCTCTGCCCTCAAAACCACACAAATATAAAGCATCTAAAAAAGAAAGTTTTTAAAACAGTGGAAACTAAAAATCATCAAGTCCTTTCTTTAAAAACAGTTGTTCTTATGACCAAAGCAGCAGCACACATTTTAACATGGTCCTGAGTCGGCACACATTTGTGTTTCTCATATAACATTTAATGTTACCCGGGGTCAGCATGCATCTGTAGGGAGAAAAACACTTCGGCAGAGAAGCATGATGAGCGGAACTAACTGCCGACCCTAATCAGAACAGAGTCAGGGTTCACAGTTGGAAGGCTCTGGAAACTACCCAGAGACAGAGAGCTGAGATAGGCAGACGGAAAGCTTAAGTGAGATGGAAAAGGAGCTGTGACAGAGGGGCTGGAGGCGAACGTGGGCATCAGACAAGCATTATGCTGTCTCCTAACAGGATACTAGAAGAAAAAGCTATTTGTGGAGACCAACAGTTTCACGTCTTTCTATTTGAAATCATAATGGAATGTATGCAGGTCTATGTTTAATGGCTTATGTAACTGAAAAGCTGAAAAATTATTTCAAATGAACAAATGTGGGTTCAGGAGATAAACTAGGGCAATCCTGAGGTGCATGCTGCTGGACTTAACAAAAAAGAATTTTATACAAGAAAAAAAAAGAAAATACTTACTTGAACTTTCACTTCCTGGTGGCTCAGAAGGGGCACGAGGAATGGTACAACCCCTGAATCAATAACCATCTGTATCTGCTCATTTCCTCCATCTGTCAAGTATGACAGAGCCCAAACAGTGTCCACAAGAATCTATAAGAAGTACAAACAGAAAAAAGCTATTCCAGAAGTTGTAACAGAAAAATAAGGAGTTTTCTGTTTTAACTTGGTGGGAAAGATAACCGTGTACATGACTGATATAAGTATAATTTTTATCTCAGGGCTTACCTGCGATCACCTTTCATAAACATGAGACAGAAGTTTAGGAAGCTTGTTTCCAATTTCTGACTTTATGTACCAGATAGATAAAAATAGAAATAATGTGTTGGCAAGATAGCTTAGCAAGCAAAGAGTTTGCAAGTTATCTTATCTTGGTGACCTGAGTTTGGTCCCCGAAACCAACATAAAGATGGAAGAAGAGAACCAACTAGAGAAAGCCATCCTCTGATCTCCACACAGGTACAGCATTCACACATAAACATAATACACAAACATAAAATAAATAAAAATTGTTAAACAAGCATAAAATTTTCCCTGAGCCCAAAAATTAGGCACAAAAATAATTGTGATCTATCTCATACACAAGTCTGAGGCCAAAACACTACACTGCTTCAAATCTAGAAGACCCCAAAATAATCTGCCAATACAATTTTTCCAACTACTAAAGTGAATAGGCTAAGGAATGATTCAGTACTTGAACCTTGACAAAGGCCCTCAAATGAAAAGCATGAAGTACAATAACGTAGTGCTGAGTGTCATGGCACACGTGTGTGATCACAATACATGGGAAATGTAACCAAAGGAGCAGGAGGAAAAGCCACCCTCAGCTACACAGTGAGTGTGAGCAGCCTAGGCTGCATGAGACCCAAAACCCAAATTAAGCCACATCCTCATCCATCTGAAGTTTTCAGCTACAAGAACAAGACCAAACAGGGTACCCCCCCAGGACCTGGTGAACTGACTCAGTACACAGAGGTAGTGTGGTTCTCCTTGGTGTCCTCACAGCCCCCAGGACCTGGTGAGCTGACTCAGTACACAGAGGTAGTGTGTGTTCTCCTTGGTGTCCTCACAGCCCCCAGGACCTGGTGAGCTGACTCAGTACACAGAGGTAGTGTGTGTTCTCCTTGGTGTCCTCACAGCCCCCAGGACCTGGTGAGCTGACTCAGTACACAGAGGTAGTGTGTTCTCCTTGGTGTCCTCACAGCCCCCAGGACCTGGTGAGCTGACTCAGTACACAGAGGTAGTGTGTGTTCTCCTTGGTGTCCTCACAGCCCCCAGGACCTGGTGAGCTGACTCAGTACACAGAGGTAGTGTGTGTTCTCCTTGGTGTCCTCACAGCCCCCAGGACCTGGTGAGCTGACTCAGTACACAGAGGTAGTGTGTGTTCTCCTTGGTGTCCTCACAGCTGCAAAAGCACAACTCTTCCCTCATCTGAAACCCAGAGGCCTTTCTACTAAGTGTCCAAATTAAAGACGCCTTTTGCCTGAAAGTTTCAAAAGCAGCTACCTCAACGCACATATCCTTTAAGAAGGCATGCGTACAAGTCAGAGGAGCAGATAAAACTACACATAACTTACACCTTTAGCATTACTAAGAATCATGAGAACACAATTCCAAATTACCTATAAGAAGAAAACAAATACTAATTTGGATCTGGACTCATTCCAAACCTGTGTGAGATGAAAAGAATAAAGAATGAGAAGGAATGGAAGAGGTACAATTATGCATGTTTGAAACAGAAACTGTCAGGGGGAGCATTACGGAGGAAAAAAATCAGAAGGAACTCAAGAGCAACACCAAAAGAAACCATATAATCTAAGTATGGTTTGAATATAATGACTCCCATCAGCTCATGTATTTGAATATTTCGTCATTAGGGGGTGGAACTGTTTTAGAAGAACTAGGAAGTATGGCTTTGTTGGAACAGGTGTGTCATACTGGAAAAAGTAACTATGTCATTGGAGATGGGCTCTGAAGTTTCAAAAGCCCAAGCCAGGCCTAGTGTCTTTCTCTTCTGTCTCATGTATGTGGATCAGAATGCAAGTTCTCAGCTACTGCGCCAGCACCATGCCTACCTGCATGCTACCATGCTCCCCACCATGGTGACAATGGACTAAACTTCAAAACTGTAAGCAAGCCCCGATTAAATGCTTTCTTTTGTAAGATTTGCTGTGCTTGTGATGTCTGTTCTCGGCAATTAACACAGAAACTGTACCAAAACTGGGGTGTTGCTGTGACAGGTCTGGCCATGCAGTTTGTTGGCAGAATGTGGACTCTGGATTAGGAAAGCAGGTGAAAGCTTTAAGTGGGGCTTAACAGGCCAAACTAGTAAGAGCAGGGAAGATGGTGCTGAGAGCAATGGAGACAACAACAGCCTGGCCCAAGAGGTTTCAGAAAAGAGGAATGTTAATAAGTAGCCTTGAGACCATACTTGCAGTATTTTGGCAAAGAGTGTGGCTGTTTTCTGCCCTTGCCCACCCCACCCCCAATCTGCCTGACAGTAAACTGAAGACTTTTCGATTAATGGCATTTGCAGAGGCGATTTCAAGATAGCCTAGTATTGACTGTGCTGTGTTGTTATTAGTGATCAATCTTACGTAGATGTTGAACAAGCAAGCTGAACAAGGAAAAAAAATGTACAGTTTGAAAAGAAAAAGGCACCAAGAAATGGAGCTAAGTCTGGTGTTCAAGGAGATAAAAAGTTTAAAGTCCAATGCTAAATAGAATAAAAGGAAATGGTGACCTCCGGGCAAGACCCTATCCAGCTAAGTTTCCAACTTGTGACAAGGGAATTAGAGAAAACCTTAAGTGAAGGAAACCACTGAAAACAGAAAGCTAGACAAGGGGACCAAGCTCCAGCCCCAATAAGCAACAGATCTTGGCAGCTTTGGCCATATGCTTCTGACCTTAGTATCAAGGATGCAAAATATGGGTTGTGGAATCTGAGATCTGCTGAAGGCAAGTGTGTGGCAGTGGTGTTCCTTCATGAAAGCCATTGTGGGAAGCTGTGAAGGTGAAGTAGGGATTGCCTTGGAGACCCCAAGATGTTAGAAATGTGAGAGCCACGGGATACCTGCTGAAGAAAGCTTAAGACTGGGTGTGGAACCAGCCCAAGAGAGAGGAGTGTTGTAGTCAACAAAACTGGAAGGAGTTGGAGTTCTGAACAGCTCATCAGGCATGGAAATGCAGAATTAGGAGTTTGCTCTGCTGGTTTTCACTCTTGTGTTGTACGGTATTTCCTCATTGTAATCCCTTTCCTCTGTGTTGTTAAGTACAGGATCTACCTTTTTTTGTTTTTTGAGACAAGATTTCTGTGTTGCCCTGGCTGTCCTGGAAATGGCTCTGTAGACCAGGCTAGCTTTGAACTCAGATATCCACCTGCCTTTGCCTCCTGAGTGCTGGGGTTAAAAGCATGTGCCACCAATGCACAGCTGAACTTTAAACTTTTAAACAGTGTTGAGACTTTTAAAAACTTTTGAAGCTGAATCGAATGCATTTTCACATTATGATATGGCTTCAGCTTATGGGGCCAGAGAGTGGACTGTGTCGGCTTGAAAAGAATGGTTCCCCCCATAAGCTCGTATATCTGAATGATTAGTTATCAGGGAACGGCAATGCTTTTGAAGGATTAGGAGGTATGGCTTTGTTGGAGTGGGTGTGACCTTGTTGGAGGAACAAAGTCAGTGAGGGTGGGTTTTGGGGTTTCAAAAGCCTAAGTATCTCTTTCATACTGCCATCTGAGGATTCTTCTTTAGCACCATGTTTACCTGCATGCAACTATGTTCCCCACCATGCTGATAATGAACTAAACCTCAAAACTGTAAGCAGGCCTCAATTAACTGTTTTCCATTTAAAGAGTTGCTGTGGTCGTGGTGTCTCTTCACAGCTACAGAACACTAAGACATTAAGTAACAGTATTAACAACAACAACAACAAACCCAAAAACCTGAAAGGAGCAAAGCCAAGGAGCTTGCAGTACAACAACAAAGCTGATATCTGAGTCATCAAGAGTCCCAGGACAAAGAGTTGGAAACAGCCTTGGTCCCAAGACTGCAAGCCGCCTCTGTGTTGAGGAGGTGGGAGTTAAGTATACATTTATTTTTACTGTGATTGTTCAGGACCACACTTTACAAAATGCCTTGTTTCCTTTACTGTTGTTTTGGAAAGGAAAGTTTTATTAAAATTGTTTTAGTTTTGAATACAGAGTAGTTCTATTAATTACGACTAATTTTGGAAAACTCTTGAGCTTTCATTTAACTGTTTGCCAAAACCTTCCGAAGTAAAGTGATATTCAAAGACAGTTATTAGACCAGATGTCTTAAAGACATTTCTGGGGTATTTACATTTGAAGATTCCATATTAATGAATGTCTGACTTAAATTCTAACCAAAAACTGTAACGTTATTCTTCGTATATTTTCGTTATAAGGATTAACAACCTTAGCTGCAGACAAATAAAATATTTAAGCTATTTATTTTTTTAAGAAAAAAGGTAGAGCTGAAGAAAAATGTGCATAATGGAGGAAAATGCCCCCAAATGTGCAAACAACTTAAATCTATAGATGCAAAAACAGAGATGAAGCAAAAATAAGCTCATTGATCACTGCACAGGCAACTGGAATAAAGGAAAGGTATTTAAAAAGAGGTAAATATATAGATAGCTGCTAGAATAAAGCATATTAGCATATTAAATATAAGATGATTATAGGATTAAAATTAAACTCTTGTGTTAGGGTTGCACACAGGGCTTTGTCTGCACGAGGCAAGCACTTTACAACTATGCAACAACATCCTGCGTGGAGCCCTCAATTAGCTTCTTAAATAAAAGCCAACTCTACAACTACGGGCATACCTATACCAAATAAACAAGAAAAAGAAAGTAGAGGTTGCAATTCTGGTAAGAGAACAGTAGCTAAGAATCAATGCAAAAGATACTTTATGACATGAAACTAATAAAGATACAAATGTCTATTCACCAAATAATACTGCAACTGCCATTATAAAATAGATAATATACAAGAATACTTCAAAAAGCTGGAGAAGTTTGTTCTGTTACTGTTCTTTTGTTTTTTGTTTTTTTTTTTCTTTTTTGGT